TTTGAAAATCTTTGTCAGAGATATCAACAAGGAAATAGCACCAATGACGCGGTTTGACGGTAACTATATTGACAGCTAGGGCCATCTATGGGCAAATTCCGGTTTCATATTTACAGACCTGGTAACGTGTCACGGTCCATATCGGTAAATGCCGCTTCAATAGCGGCTCTCAATGATGCGACGTTTGGATGTCTGGACTTGTTCGTGACCCTTTCAACTACGCTCCATACATAGAAGTCCAAAGGATTCAAATCTGGGCTGTTAAAGAACACAAAAGCAGGTTGCAGCGTTCAACTCGCTTTGTCCTGGCGGCTTCGGAAAGCATCTGTCTCACTTTAATTGTGTAAGACTTGTAGCGGGAGTCCTCCTTGACGATTCGACGCATAGTTTTCTCGCTCACACCAACAACCGACGACAATTTTCGGATCGACCGCCCTGGATCCTCAAAAATCAGCTCCTGAGCCCGTTGAATGATGTCGGGCGTCCTGACAACGCGCTCCTTCGAGTGGGTTTTCCTCGCCGGTGTTGCAAAACCTTCGTTGGACTTCTCCGACTCATTGTACTTTACGATGACATCATACACAGTGGATTTCAAGTACCCGAAGAACCGAATGATTTCTGTGTCGCCCAGCGCGAACACTTTCGATAATCGCGGCTCTTCGGTTATACTCCGCACTTGGTTTCAACATTGCGACTGTTTCGAGATTAAGGCTTTCACACACACTTTCCGTAACAGTAACCGTAAGACGTAACGTAAGAATTGACCAATCACGTTGAGAATCGTCGAAACATAAGGTCGCCATTTTTGTGAATACTCCATCGTAATTGGTCAATTCTTACGTTACGTCTTACGGTTACTGTTACGGAAAGTGTGTGTGAAGGCCTTTATGATGGTTTAGTACATGCGTCAAACTATTTGAACGCTAATCGCGACATCTACCAGTGGTATAGAATGGTGAGAATTTCAAATTAAATTTTGTCCGGATTTTGGCGCCCTGTATATACTAGTAGTAGAAGTACGTAAGAAATAAGATAAAAATCGTAAAATCATAAAATTATAGTTATCAATTAATCGTAATGTTGGTAAAATTCACAAACCGTAATTTTATTGACAACTTCTAATTAGCTGTTAGATTAGATTAGATTTACGAGAAATCGTAGATACGAGTTATCGTATGATATACGGTCCGCATAGAATTGCAGATCTACTGATAAGTTCTTACCAGTCTTGCGAGAACAAATTATGAGCATATTAATTCTGCATTTTTTTATTAGCATTAACCCATTTTTTAATAATTTTTTAATCTCCGAAGTTAGCACGAGTGTCTTGCTAACTTCAAAGATTGAAAAATTATTTAAAAATAGATAATCGCCGGAACTCTTCTTAAATTTGATCGTAGGAACTAGAACTCTTAGAATTAACGACAATTGTCAATGGAACATTGACAAAAAAAATGGTCAGCACGACACTTTTTCCGAGAGTGTCGTGTTAACTTTAAAGATTAAAAAATTATTTAAAACTAAAAGGTAGCTGCGGAACTTTTCTTAAATTTGATCGTAGGAACTAAAACTTTGCTAGAACTAACAAAAATAATCAATAGAACGGCCAGATATAGTCTGCATAGATATAGTCTGATATTTTCTCTCGGAAGTGTCGTGCTGAGTCTAGTATTCGAAATTTATAAAAACAGCGTAATTGTTAAAATTTTTTTTCTTAATTGAACATTTTAATAGAATTCGATCAGAACTAACGGAAACTTTTGCTAAAAGTAGTGGTATTTATTTATTTCTTGTACTTTAGAGGGGAAGTGTCGTGCTAGATTCGCGAAGTTAGTACAATTTTTTATTTGTTGTTTTTCGGTATTAAAAATCACGGAACTCTTTTTGTTTTCTATAAAACTCTTCTTCTATAGAACTTCTTCTTTTATAAAACTTTTGTTTACTAGAACTCTATAAGTACGAAAAGTGCTAATAAAACTGTCATTATTTTTTTTAAATTTGTAAAACGTACGTCGTACCAGCTTCAAATACGCAACATCGCTTCGAAAATATAGTCTGTTCTTTAAATATCACTTAACGCGCACTCGTCACTTCTTTATTTCTCAGGTGTCTCAGTCACAAACAGTTTTTATTCCTTCAAATGAATTCGTCTGTTATTATGTGTATGTATATGTGTTATCAGTATGTTAATGTCTATGTATATGTGTTATCAGTATGTTAAATTTAAAATAATGCAAACTGCCGGGGAAGAAATATAACAACATATGAGAAATAAAAAGTTATTGAAATGTATACTAATGATTGCAAATATAAACATTAATGTTAAGCAGCTACAGACAGAAAATATACTGGTTTAATATTTAGTATATAATAGGCATGTTCAACTCGCGAGCAGCGCCTACAAACATTTCTTGTAGTTTTGAGTCAGTGTAGTTATAATGTTTGATATGCAACGGTCCATTCTGACCGCAGTATCTCTTTTTCCAATTGTCATTGTAATTATGGTTACATTGGTGTGATTTTTTGAAATACGATAAAACTTCCTTGTAGCTCCAACCTTCGTTACACATCTCGGCCAACTCGTCGTAGTCTTTCACGTTGCCGTAAATATAGAGCCTAGCGTTTATCATGGAACTGCCGCACACGAATGTAGTTATTTCCACCTAATTTTACTCAAATTATCTAGTCAATACTTGTTGTTTCGACTAAAAAAATATTAAATCAATATATTTTACTCATTAATACTATTATTATTATTTCTGTACACTGCATTATATTCTTCAGATAACATAAAGTTAACTGATAAATAGACAAAACTACAAACTAAAGCAATACGTACAATTCTCAAATATAGTACTTTCAACAGGATTGCAACGTTACATACGAAATCATGGAGGCATGCTTGAGTGCAGGTTGTGCAGCTGCAACGACTGGTGCTTCTACATCCATTTTCCTGCAACTGGTGCAATCAATTCTAGTCGCACAATGCGCTTTGAACGACGCGAGCAAATATCCACCAGACCGCTCGGAAGAAATCGCGAATAGCAACATCGAATTTGACTTCGTCATCGTAGGTGCCGGAAGCGCTGGATCCGTAATAGCTAATCGTTTGACCGAAGAAAAGAAATGGAAAGTATTGCTGATTGAAGCTGGAGACAACCCTTCAGCTATCAGCGAAATCCCCGGAATATTTCCGCAGTTAATAACGTCACCCGAAGATTATTTCTGGGAAGTCGAGGCTGAGAAATTCGCTTGCCATAGCAGCAAGACAACATTGTGCAGCTGGCATGCAGGCAAGGCACTTGGCGGCAGTTCCACGATAAACGCTATGCTCTACATTTACGGCAACGCGAAAGACTACAACGAGTGGGCCGAAATGGGTAACGAAGGTTGGAGCTACGAGGAAGTTTTACCGTATTTCAAAAAATCACAGCAATGTAACCATAATTACAATGACAATTGGAAAAAGAGATACTGCGGTCAGAATGGACCGTTGCATATCAGACATTATAACTACACTGACTCAAAACTACAAGAAATGTTTGTAGACGCTGCACGCGAGTTAAACGTGCCTATTCTAAAAACTATTAATGGCGACGAGCACATTGGATACGGCAGAAGTCATGTAACTGTGGATGAAGGTCGTAGGATGAACACAGCAAAAGCCTTCTTGTCGCCGATCAAAGACAGAAGCAATCTCTACGTGATGAAGTCTACCCGAGCCGACGCCGTTATCCTAGATGGAACTCGAGCTGTCGGGCTACGCGTGACTCTGAAGGACGGTAGGTCGATCGACGTGAAAGCGTCGAAAGAGATAATTCTATCCGCGGGCAGTATCGGCAGTCCACGTATACTAATGCTTTCCGGCATTGGGCCTAAGCAGCATCTGCACGAAATGGGAGTACAGTGTATCGTTGATTTACCGGTCGGCCAAAATCTTCAGGACCACGTTAGCTGGCATGGTATATACTTACTCTACAAGAGTGAGACAACATCGTCGCCGCATTTTTCCATGTTGGACGAGCTTTATCAAACTCTGATGCATAAACAAGGTCAATTATCAAACCTCATGAATTTCGACTTCATGAGTTTCATCAATGTGAGCGATTCGAATTCTAAATACGCCGACATCCAGTTCCTTCATATGCACTATTCACACAAGAATTTGGCTTTGGTACACATGTTGTCACATGTATTCTCGATACATGATCAGATAACGCTTGAAATACTAAAAGCGTTGAATGAAGCCGAAATATTACATCCTGTTCCGGTTCTGCTGAAACCAAAGAGTAGAGGCAAGTTGCAACTACGTAGCAAGAATCCGGCGGTTCCTGTCAAGATCTACGCGAACTACTATTCCGAACAGGAGGATATTGAAACGATGTTGAAATCATTAGACTATATAAGAAAAGTGTTAAAAACCAAGATATTCGTACGAGAAGGAGTGTGGTTGCATCACTTGGATATTGCTGGGTGCCAACGCTTTGAACCCGATTCCAATGAATATTGGAAATGCAGTTTGCGACATTTGTCTTTCACGCTTTTCCATCCTGTTGGTACGGCAAAAATGGGTCCTCGGGATGATCCGACGGCCGTTGTCGATAGTCGATTGAGAGTTCACGGCGTACAAGGACTCAGAGTCATCGATGCGTCTATTATGCCAACAATTACCAGCGGAAACACGAATGCACCATCGATAATGATAGGGGAAAAAGGCGCGGATTTAATAAAAGAGGATTGGGCGAATACGAATTACAAACAAGAATTATAGAATGTAGTATAACTATGCTACGCGCTTCTTGTAGGACTAAAGTTTTTGTTTCTTAATCTTTCTTGTGTCGTTAATCACTGAATAGTAAATGAATTAGAAAAATTTAATCTAAATACACAGGCTGCTGAACATATTATTTTATTATATATGTGATTTTAAAACTTGCTTTAAAATTATATAAATTTTGTTATATATTATTTTTTAGAACTTGTGTAACATGTATTTTATAATGCAAATAAATTTATGTAATAATATTCCATCAAACTTTAACATAAGCACAATAACTAAACAAATATAAAAGTGTTTTCTTCTAACAGTCATTCTTACCGCTTGTAAATATTTTTTTAATTAAGTTCTAATTTATCTAAGTCATTATAAATTAGTTTTTGTCTAATAAATATTCGTCTAATAGATATTTATAATTCTATTATTAATAAAGTAATTTTTGTTTTATTTTATTAATATCTATGATTTTATTTATATTTAAATTATATATAATTATATCTATCTCTCCCTTTATAAATCAGCAATGGGGTAGATGTTTACTTTTACACAGCTAACTCGAAATGATTTTCGAGTAACCTTAATATTAGCCCTTAAGGAGGTCAATGCTATTGACCTTTATCGGCGCTCATTGTTTGTTAAAAAGTTATTAACAAAAGAAGTTGCATAAAATGAATATAATTTTTGGACATTGTATATACAAAAACATGGAATTTGTAAGCTAGGAAGGTGCGAGGCGTACGTAATCACGTACACACACACACACGTTTCACACACACTGGTCGCCGGCACGCGCGCTCGC